CAAGCATTTTTTGAATATCCGTGTTGCGAAGCCATGTTTTTTTGGGACACTCGATTTTGCAATCCCTACGACGCTGCAGGTTTTTGAAGGATTTCGGCATGCGCGCGCGATGACGCGCGCGTGTGCACTTCGTCCCATTTTTGCAAAGGCTTCTTGAACATTTAAGGTTATCGATAAATGAGTGCGCGCGCAAAGTATTTTTGCAGAGGATGGTGGGTGGGGGGGCGATATCGATTGGGCTGGGGTGGTACGGCTCCACATTTAGGGTGGACGGTGGTGTATAATTTCATTTCGTATAGATTGCAATACGGAAAAGGGGTGCCGATTATCCCGGTGGGGGGGTTGAGTCTGTTCTTTGTCTAGAAAGAAGAATCTATGGTGTGCCATTCACTTGCCTAACTTGAAATTGTCAACTCCATTGCTCGCGCAATCATCCAACCCACCCGCCCGCAACTTGGTTTGCAAAACCCATGCGGGACCGAACACAGATTTCGTTCCGGGGTCGTCTTGGAGCCCTCGGGGGCGTCTCAAGAGCGCCCCAAGAAGGTCGGAGAAGCAAGACGGCCGACGACGACGACGACGGCGGCGGCGACGACGACGGCGCCGACGTCGACGACGAAGACGACGACGCCGACGCCGACGACGACGAAAACGACGACGACGTCGCCAACGAAGACGACGACGAGGGAGGAGGGAGGACGACGACGGCGACAACGAGGGCGGCGACGACAACGACGACAACGAGGGAGGAGGGAAGACGGCGACGACGCGAACGACGAAGAAGGAGGAAGGACGGCGACGCCGACGACGACGACGACGAGGGAGGAGGGAAGACGACGACGACACGACGACGACAACGACGACGACGACGGCGACGAAATAGGGTGGACGACGACGAGACGCCGACGACGGACGACGACGACGACGAGGGAGGAGGAGGAAGGACGACCACGGCGACAACGACGACGGAAACGACCACGACGCTAAAGAGGACGACGACGACGAACACGCGGAAAGACACAGGACGACGTAGGCGACGACGACGACGACGCGGGAGGAGGGAGGACGGCGACGACGACGACGACGACGCAAGAGCGCGCGCTCACGCTGTTGTTGAAAATCCGTGTTGCGAAACCTTGTGTTTTTGTAAGTTTTTTGGACGCGCGATCTTGAACTCCTTCCGAAACCGATGGGTTTTGAAGGATTTCGGCGTACGCGCGCGACGACGCGCGCGTCTGCACTTCGTCCCGTTTTTCGCAGAGGATTCTCTCGACGGCACACGCGCAAGGGCGTTCGACAGATTTCGACATGCGCGCGCGCGACGCCCGTTTGGTAGCTTGTTGTGAACAGCTTGAAAACCAATGGTTTTCTTAAGATTTCGCAAGAGCTCGCGCGTTAGTTTTTTTTGTATCGAATCAGTGTTACGAAACCCTATGTTTTTGTATGTTTCTTGGAAACTCGATTGCGAAATCCTTCCGGCATCAAAGGCTTTTTAAGGATTTCGCCTTTCGCGCGCGACGACGCGCGCGTGTGCACTTCGTCCAGTTTTTTTTTTTGCAAGGGATTCGTGAACAAGTGTTATCATAGAACAAAAAATGTCACCGCATAGTGTTTTACAAGGGAACCTCAGGGGGGTTGGTTCGGGACATTGTGATTTCATAATTAGGATGGACATGTGGTCAGAATCGTATGTGATTTACATACCCGAAAGGGGGGCGATAACGCCGGGGGGGGGTAGAAGCTATTCTTTTTTTTTAGATAGGAAAATCTAGGTTTTGCAAGATGTATGTTGGACACTATACTTTGGGTTTCTTAAAGGGCGTGGGGGGGGGGGTACCCCCCGACGGGGGTTAACCCCGCCTCGTCGTCGCACCGCGACGGGGGTCGGAGCGCCTTCGGCGCGCGGTGGCTGCCCGCGACGGGGGTCGATGTGGGGTTGTCGGCGGGGGTGACGCCCCCCCGACGCTTATCAAGACATTCGGAGTATGTAGAGCAATCTATTTGGTGCAACATCTGTGGTGCAATCTATGTTATGCATTTATCCTGTGCTATCCATGTGGTGCAATCTATCTATGCTGTGCAATCCATGTTTTGCAATCTATTTAGTTCCATGTCTGTAGTGTAATATATGTTGTGAGCGATCGAAAAACATGCCGCATGCGCGAAACAAAACAGTGCAACCCATGGGCTGCAACCGATGTGGGGCAATCTATGCTGTGCAACTCACTTGCCGAACTTGCACTTGTGGAGCCCGCAGTTGTCGATTCCATTGCTCGCGCAATCGTCCCACCCACCCACCCGCAACTTGTCTTTCAAAACGCGAGCTGCGGCGGTTGCGATGAGTGCTTGGTGTTGGCTGGTGCATCTTTGCGTCCGCTCCAGCCCGCGCGTGCACTTGCGCGCGGCGGCCCTCTAGCTTGCCGCGACCGACGCGGCCGCGGTGGCGCTGACCGCTGGGCACATCCCAGCGAGCACTTCAGTGCGAGTCGGCGACTTGGGCGAGCGCGGTATCATGGCAACGTCGACGACGGTAGACACGATGATGATGGTAGCGATGCTGGTGGCGGTGTTGACAGCGACGACGGTGCGGCCAGTGACGGAGCTGATGATGGCCACGCCGACGACGATGACAGCGTTCCCGTGTCGGTGATGAAGGTTTTGGAAAGAGCTCTACATGCGCGCGCGGCCGACGCGCGAGACTAGCCCGCATGGTGTTATTTGACACGGGTCGTGCCCCCCCCCCAGAACGCGTGGAAGGGCGTGCGAATGATTTCGGCATGCGGCGATTTGGGCGAGCGCGGTATCATGGCAACGTCGACAACGGTAGACACGATGATGATGGTAGCGGTGCTGGTGGCGGTGTTACAGCGACGGCGGTGCGGCCAGTGACGGAACTGATGATGGCCACGCCGACGACGATGACGGCCGTCCCGTGTCGGTGATGAAGGTTTTGGAAAGAGCGCTACATGCGCGCGCGGCCGACGCGCGAGACTAGCCCGCATGGTGTTATTTGACACGGATCGTGCCCCCCCCAGGACGCGTGGAAGGGCGTGCGAATGATTTCGGCATGCGGCGGGAGTGGCTCGTTTTGCAGAATGCCATGAACATATGAAGAAACCCCTAGTTTCTTGTTCAAAGAAAGAATCGTTCGCGAGGGCGCGAGCGCATTTTTGGTTTGAAAACGGATGTAGCGAAATCGTGTGATTATGTGTATATATGTGTGTTTTTGGACACTCGGTTTTGACATCGTTACGAACCCGAGTTTTTTGACGGATTTCGGCATGCGGGCAGGATGACGCGCGCGTGTGCACTTCGTCCCGTCGTTTGCAAAGGATTCTCGCGACACCGCGCGCGCAAGGGCGTTCGAACGATGTCGACATGCGCGCGCGAAGCCGTTCCGGTAACATGGTATGAGCATGTTTACAAACAGCCCAAGGTCTCTTAAGAATTAACAAGTGCGCGCACAAACTGTTTTTTCTTGGGGGGGAAAACCGAGTTGCGAAACCCTGTGGATTTGTATTTTTTGGACACTTGATTTTGAAATCCTTACGACGCTGAAGGTTTCTGAAGGATTTCAGCATGCGCGCGCGATGACGCGCGCGTGTACACTTCGTCCCACCTTTGCCAGGGGTTTATGATATGTGATAAACGAATGCGCGCGCATGGTATTTGTTGCACAGAATGGCGGGGGGGGGGGGTCGATACCAGCTCGGCTGGGATGGTCAGTTTTCACATTTCGGATGGGTTATGGGCAGAATCGTGTGTAAATTGCAATACGAAAAGGGGTGGGGATAATCCGGGTGGTGGGGGAGTCTATATTATTTTATTTTAGGAGAATATATGCAGCGAGCGATCAAAAACGCGCCGCATGCTCGACTTTTTTTCATGCAACCTCTGTGGTGCATTCAAACGGCGGCGACGGGCAGCGACGAGGCGGCGACGGGGCGTCGGCGGGGCGGCGACGGCGGCCATATAGCCACCAGACCTAAGACACGGCGCAGACGACCGGCGGCAACGAGGCGGCGACGGTGCGGCGACGGCGGCCACATAGCTGCCAGCAGTGATAACCCCAAAATGCAAGCAGTGTTTGGGGAATGTGTGATATCTATATATACACATTTGTTTCATGTATGGTATGTATGTATGTATGTATGTATGTATATATGTATGTATGTATGTATGTATGTATGTATGTAGGTGTGTATGTAGTGTGTGTGTATGTATGTATGTATGTATGTATGTATGTATGTATGTATGTATGTATGTATGTATGTATGTATGTATGTATGTATGTATGTATGTATGTATGTATGTATGTATGTATGTGTGTGTGTATGTATGTATGTATGTATGTATGTATGCATGTATGTATGTATGTATGTATGTATGTATGTATGTATGTATGTGTATATATGTATAATATTCATCAGCGCAGAAAAAAAAGAGAGGGAAAGAGAGAGAGAGAGAGAGAGAGAGCGAGAGAGAAGGAGAGAGAGGGAGAGAACCAAACAAGAGGGAGAGATGGAGGGAGAGAGGAGGGAATGGATATCGGGAAAAGGGAGGGAGCGAGAGAGAGAGGGAGATCTCAGGAGTAGCGCGCCGCGATGGAATGATAGTGGAAGGGTTGCGTAGCAAAGCAGGAAGTGTGCGTGAGGAGTTGTGTGCGCGCGTTTGGTATGCGGCACGTTGCGTTTGAATTGCAGTCAATTGTATTCGGTCAGGCAACTCCCCGTGGTGTTGGAATGCTTCTTGTTGGAGATAAGGCTTTTTCTTTGTCGGATGCATGGGCAGTTGAACGCCTTCCTGTGCGGAAGCTGACAGACAGTTTACAGAGGCAGACGGAAGTTTAACCACACATTCTCGCTGTCGAAGCCTTGCTGACCGTCGGCGCGGGCAAAACACAGAGCCTCCAGTGCATCCAACATCGGGCATGTGGTTTACTCTCTCTCTCTCTCTATCTCTAGTAAGGTCACGTGTTGGAAAAGGCCGAGGGTTGGCAGGTTGGGGCTTCTGCGACGTGTTCGGGCTGGACCCAGAATTGCTGTGCATGGCTCTTCCGTGCTGGTGTTGCTACATTTCTCTCGGCCTGCGTCGCCCTTTCCTCTCCATCCCGCCTTCCCTTGTCTTCACCTCTCCCCGCCCATCCTGCATGCCCCGTACTTCTGCGGTCCATCTCCGGAGCGAGCGTCGGTCCTGACAATCGTCAGGCAGCGAGCGACTGGTGGCCGGAGCGAAGTGCGATATGCACCACGTCGGCGGGCGAGAGTTAGCCCGCCCGCCTCCGAGCGGTGCGGAAGGCTGGCCACGCCTTTCGTATCCTGTTCCTGTGCGTAGCACAGAAGGAATGACTCTCTCTCTCTCTCTCTCTCTGGATTTCGCTCTGTTTTTCTGGGTCGCGGGAACTCTTTTGAAGTCGCCCGCCCGCAGTGCTTTGGAGGTTCCAGAGAGCGAGCGGCGCTTGGCACAAATTTGGCTTAGAATGGGGAGCCCTCTTCCAACATCAAAGAACATCATGCGATCGGCGCCCCGGAGGCCGCGATCCCTGGTACAATCCACAGGGTCCGTGCCCCCGACGCTCCCAGGCGCTCCCCAGCGATGGCAGACGTTTCAGGAGCGCCCAGGCGTTCCGCAGGCAGTCCCAAGCGCCCCCAGGCGCTCCCGGACGACCCCAGACGCTCTCGGGAGCTCCCAAACGTTCCAGGAACGTCCAAACGCTCCCACGCAGCGCCAGGCGCTCCCCGGGCGGCCCCAGGCGCTCCCAGGCGCTTGCCGTGCTCCCAGGCCCTTCCAGACGCTCCGGGATCGCCCACGCGCTCCTCGGCGGCTCCAGGCGCCCTTCAGGCGTTCCCAGACTTCCAGGCGCTCCCAGACGTTCCACGAGCGCCCAAGCGCTCCCAAGCAACCCCAGGTGCTCCCCAGGCGGCACCAGGCGCTTCCAGACGCTCCCAGACGTCTCCACACGCTCGCAGGCGTTCCTGGGCGCTCCCAGGCGCTTCAGAAGCGCTCCCAAGCGCTCCCAGACGCTCCCGGACGTTCCCAGGCGCTCCCAAGCGTTCCCAGATGTTCCAGGAGCGCCCAAGCGCTCCCAGGCGCCCCCAGCCGCTCCCAAAGCGTCCCAGACGCTCCCAGACGCTCCAGGAAACTCCAGGAGGCCCCAGGAGGCCCCAGGAAGCTTCAGGAGGCCCTAGAAGGCCCCGGAGTTGGCTTCAGAAAGCCCTAGGAGAGCGACAGGAGCCCCCAGGAAGCCACAGAAAGCTCCCAGGAAACCCCGACTCCGACACAGCAGTTCGATTTCTTTCCTTGCAGACCCCCCCCCGCCCCTCGCGCGTGAACTTGTGTTCCGAAGTCATCGCCGATGCGGCGCGCGAGCCCTTTCATGCGCGCGCGCGAGGGCTACCCAGCCGCGCGAGGAAGCTGCTTCTGGTGGCGACCCGACGCGCGAGGCCTCGTCCGTGCGCCCGAGCGCTGCCCAGTCGCGCGGGGAGTCCGCCCGGCGCGGGGATCTGCGCTCCGAGATTTTTCCCCGATGCTGCGCCCGACGTCCGTGCCCGCGCGCGCGGACGCTGCACAGTACGCGCGAGGAGGCCGCTCGTCGCCGCGCGCCGACCCTCAGCGCGGAGATCGAGCGCCGAGACCGCCGCCGATGCGACGCGCGAGTCCCCGCCCGAAACATCCGAGCGCGGCCTGAAGGTTCCCGAAAACGCCTTTCAACATGTCTCGGCGGCGGGCCCAGGGGGGAAATGAGAAGGAGCAGGCCTTCTCAGAAGGCCGCGGGACTTCTTAGAAGTCCAGGGGACTTCTGAGAGGTCTCCTTAGCCTATTTCGAATACAGACTGAACTTCTCAGAAGCCCTCTCAGAAGTCCGGAAACTTCTCAGAAGCCTCGGAAGTCCCGCCCCTTCTCATTTCCCCCCCGCGCCCGCCGCCGAATGTCATGCAGACCCCCACACCCACCCCCCTCGCGGTGGTCGCGCTGCGAGATGCCCGCATGTGCGGCGTCGTTCCGCGTTCTCTGCGCGTCGTCCGCAATTCGTCGTCGTTCGCCGTTCGTCGACAGCCGTCGCCTTGGTCACCATTCGTTCTTCGTCGTTCGTCGTTCGTCTTTCGTCGTCGTCGTCGTCGTTCGTCGGTCTTCGTGCGTCGTTCGTCGTTCGCCGCCCGCGTGAAGTCGTTTGTCGTTGGTCGTTCGCCGCCGTCGTCGTTCGCCTGTAGTCGCGCAGCGATACATCCGCGGGGAAGTGCGACGCGTACCATCTTCCCCCTTTAGAAGGGGACGGCGTGGGGGTGGAGGCGAGGAAGGAGCTCATTTCCGGGCGCAGCCGAGACGGGTGCCAGTGATGGGTTGGGACACGAGTGTCGCGAGCGCGCACTCAAACATCCCACCCCCAACAACCCAGCTTTGGGGTGGGATGCGTGCGCGCGTTCCTTTTCAATACTTTCTCTCTCTCTCTCTCTCTTTTTCTTTCCCTGTCAGCTTGTCTGCCTGCCTGCCTGTCTCTGTGTGTGTGTGTGTGTGTTTGTGTGTGTGAGTGTGTGTGTGTGTGTGTGTGTGTGTGTGTGTGTGTGTGTGTGTGTGTGTGTGTGTGTGTGTGTGTGTGTGTGTGTGTGTGTGTGTGTGTGTGTGTGTGTGTGTGTGTGTGTGTGTGTGTGTGTGTGTGTGTGTGTGTATGTGTGTGTGTGTGTCTGTCTGTCGGCCTGTCTGTATGTGTGCCTGCCTGTCTGTCTGTCTGACCCCTGTTTTTTTGACAGGGAAAGTCTTGGGTCTCAGAATGGGGTTGTTGGCACCCGGTTTTACAAATTTACAACAACAACAACAACGGCTCCCGCCTGATATTTCCCAATGTATTCCCAAATCGCGCTCTCGCGCGGGATTTCCTCACAATGCATGCAGGCGTCGTGCTCTCGCGTGGGACTTCATCGCAATGTATTCAAACGCCGCGCCCTCGACACTCAGGAATCACGCTTTCGCTTTGGCTTTTCTCACGATTTACTTTGGAATTGCGCTATCGCTCCAGACTTCCTCGCGATTCATGCAGGATTCACGCTTCAGCAACCCGCCTGCTCGACCTGGCCGCCTGGGCCTGCCTTCCCGACTCGCCCGCCAGGGTTTGCTCGCCCGATCTGCCCGTCTGGTTCTACCATGTGTTTTCTGCTCCTAGCCCCCTTCCTCCTGCTCCTCTCTCTCTCATGCTCCATCCTCCTCCTTCCTCTTTGTCCCTTTATTCCATCCGTCCTCTCTTCCCCTGCCTTAGGGGCTTCACGAAATACACGTTGCAGGTAAGAAAGATATACCGATAGGACCACTCTACGGGTGAGAAGGAGGTTGAGTGGAGGGGGAGGTGGTCGATTTGCGATGGTTCTGGGTTGTTTGGTCGTTTCTTCAACTTTCCTACTGTCACGCGCACTACCCATGAACATATCAATCCATCGACCTACCTATCTATCTGTTTCTCGATCAATGGACCATAAGGACAACCATCAACACAACCATCCGGACAACTATCGGGACAACCATCGGGACAACCATCGGGACAACCATCGGGACAACCATCCGGACAACTATCGGGATAACCATCGGGACAACCATCGGGACAACCATCGGGACAACCATCGGGACAACCATCGGGACAACCATCGGGGCAACCATCGGGACAACCATCGGGACAACCATCGGGACAACCATCGGGACAACCATCGGGACAACCATCGGGACAACCATCGGGGCAACCATCGGACAATCATCGGGACAACCATCGGGACAACCATCGGGACAACCCTCGGGACAACCATCGGGGCAACCATCGGGATAACCATCGGGACAACCCTCGGGACAACCATCGGGGCAACCATCAGGACAACTATCAGGCAACCATCGGGACAACCATCGGGACAACCGTGGAGCAACCAACGGGACAACCATCGGGGCAACCATCGGGACAACCGCGGGGACAACCGCCGGGACAACCCGGGAGCCACGGCCGGCCGACGGGGGAGGGCGGTTTGGCAGTAGATGGCCCCTACCAGTGCAGGCGCAGCTTCGCCTCGCCCGCACGCGCGACACGAACCGAAACCGATTTCTGGGGCCCGACCTGCAGGAAAAAAATATATACCCCCCAAAAGGAGTACGATCGAAGACGAAGAGGGCGGGTATCGAAGGTTTTGGAAATACACGTTGAAGGAAACTCGAGCAGATAAGAGCGAGCAGTCTTGAAATGATTGTTGTTGTTGTGCTGTTATTATCATTATCATTATTATTATTATTATTATAAATATTGTTGTTGTTGTTGTTGTTGTTGTTGTTGTTGTGGTTGTTGTTGTTGTGGTTGTTGTTGTTGTTGTTGTTGTTGTCGTCGTCGTTGATGTTGTTGCTGCTGCTGTTGTTGTTGTTGTTGTTGTTGTTGTTGTTGTTGTTGTTGTTGTTGTTGTTGTTGTTGTTGTTGTTGTTGCTGTTGTTGTTGAGTCCCCATGTCTGAATAATAAGTGCCGTTGATACCCCCCACCGGTAAACATTATATTTTTCAATTGAAGTGCCCCTCTCGGGGCTCGCACCCTGTTTTTATCAGGGAAGGCTTGGTATCACCAAACTGCGTTGTTAGGCTCCGATTTGCAACAACAGCCAAGCTGCGCTGTGCTGGTTTTCGCGGATTCGGGCGAGGGGGATGGGCGGGGAGGGGCGGATGGGAGCGCAGGTGGAAGGCTTGAGTGGGGGGGTGGGGAAATCATGCGTGCTACTGGATGGAGCAGCAGGGGTGGGCCGCACGCACGTCTGCCCGCCCTCCCCGGCGAAGGTTCCTCAGCCGTGCGCCGCGCTGTGCCTGCTCTTCCCGAGCGAGAAGATCAGCCGCCTCCACAGATTCAGCGTCCCTCATCCCCTCCCTCTCCCCATCCCTCCCTTCCCCTCGCCTCATGCTTCCGCGGCTCGCTCCCTCCCCGCATTTTTCCCTCCCTTCCCACTGCCCACCCTTGCCGCGCCTTCCCGCACGTTCCAGTCCCTGCCCTTCCCGCGCCCCCCCATGCCCCGCTCCCCTGCTCGAGGCCTTCCGGGTCAGCCTATCGGCCCGCAAGATGTCGTTGTCCACGGCCTTGCTCTTCTCTGACTTCCGGTGGCCAGGAGGCCGTGATGTGTTTTGTGTCTTGTTCTCTCGAGGACACACTTCAGAGGCCTTGGGTCCCCTGGGCCCCAGAATTCAGACGGGGACAGATTTCGACCTCGGTGGCGGAACAGTGGATTCGCCATGCTCGCGATGTTCTCCTTGCTGCACGGGGCGCGCGCAAGGATCGGTCCCGGTGAGATCCTGCAGGCTGCAAATGCCTTCGAGCCAGGGCCTTCGAGCCAGGGATTTGGCAAGAATTGAGGTCGTCCTCGCCGCGAAGACTTGCGTTCCAGGACGGGCAGGGACGGGAATACCAGCTAGGCGCGAATCGTACAATGCTGAGGGTGTTCCAGTAATCTGCGGGCTGGCCTGCAGACGCAACTACTCTTCTCGTGGGGACAACTTCTGACCGCCTCGCGGAGATGTCCGACAGTGCCCATGTTGGACTCCACGCGGTGCCCAGTGCTGGGAAGGTGTAGTTAAGCCTCAGGCTCTTTTGAGGCGGGCCTTCACGCTCAGTTTTGCATGGCTCTGCCAGTTTGGAGCGCTGTCAAGCTCTTTGCGCAAAGAGGGGCTCACTCTGCCAGGGCCCAACGCATCGTACCGTTGGCTTCTACTGACGAGTCTCCCTGATATCTTTTGCTTGCTCGCTCGTGCTTCCTGGAGCCTCGCTGGATGTTTCCCTGACGATTCGCTCACATTACCATGGTGACTTCGCATCCCTCGTGGTGTCGTGCAACGTCCCTGCTTCTATCATGCCAGTCTCAAGGCTAGACTCTGAGCGGAAAGCTCGCAGCCCGTGCTGTCACTATGTGGGTCTCCTTTTATTACCAGTGTCACAGTACCTATTATTTGCCTCACCCTGTCCCTGCGCTCCTCATCCCCTCGCGCAAACTGGAATGCGATGGCGGATCGCAGGCTTTGATTGAGACACATGCTGAATGGAGGAGAGGGACAGGGGGTAAGGGATGGAAGGGGGAGAGGTGGTGAGAGGAGGTGGTGGAGCGGGAGGGGGAGAACGAGGAAGAGGAGCACGAGAAACTGGAGGGGCAGGGGGCGGGAAGCGGGGGTGGGGACGGGGAAATGCCCTTGCGCTGTGGCGCGCGGCGGGCGAGGAGAGCGAAGATGGACTCTCCCGAGCCCGGCTTGTTCTTCCTGCAGCAGCACGACGGCGGAAAGGGAGGGTGGTAGACGCGTGTGCACACAGCCTAGGCAACCAAGAGCGAATATCGGTGGCGAACGAGGGGGGGAAGTGACGAGGAGGAGGCCTTCTCAGAGAGCGGCAGAACTTCTCAGAAGCCCTCGCGGGCCTTTGAGAGGTTTTCTGTGTCTTCGGGGAAGGCTTAGAAAACTTGTCAGAAGGCCAGGGGTCTTCCGAGCCTTCTGATAATGCCTTCTCCTTCTCACTTCCCCCCCGGGCGTGCCGCCTAGAATAACACGCTCAGCCCACTCAGGACGCAGACTCGCCGCGATGCGTAGTCAGTGGGTGGAGGCATGCAGGGTCGCCCGTGTGTGGCGCTGTGAGGCGCGCAAGATGCAGCTCACTCTCTGGCTGCAGTGGTTACGCTTTAAAGACTCTCTCTCTCTCTCTTTGTCTCTTCTCTTTTGTATTATTAGTTCCCCTCCTCCTCCCTCTCTGTTTCTCTCCACTTTTTTTCCTCTCTCTCTCTATACCTCTCTTACGTTTTCTTTTTTCGGATCATCCTCGTTCTCTCTCGTCCTCTGTGTTGGGGTGCCTTTCCCACCCCGCACAGTGCAGCGCCTAGAGGGACCGTGGAGGAATTGGCAATGCCTGCGGGACAATCGCGGCGGTGCACGCTATCTCCAACGGCGCAGTGTCTGGGATGTTCTCGCTGAAGGAGGGGTGGTGCGGGCGAGGCAGCCCGAATGATGGTTTGCCGAGTGCATGGGGCAGTGGTTCGGCAGCCAGGCTGGGTGCATACCAAAATGGTGTCGACATACTCCGACAGCGATGATACCAGGAAAAGGCGCACATGTAGACTTATCTTCTGTATTTGTGTATCTAGTCATGAGGCGTGACATATACGTCGGTGTATATATATATATATAGATGTACATGTGTACATATATATATATATATGTATATGTTAAAACCACGCGCGCTTCGCGCGCGCTTGGGTTCTAGCCTCCTTCTCCCTTTTCGCTTTCGTCCTCGTCTTCGTCCTCGTCCTCATCGTCGTCCTCGTCGTCGTCCCCCTCCGCCTCCTCCTCGGTCTCCTTCTCCTCTTCCTCCTCCGCGTCCTTGTCCTCCTCCCCCTCCTCCTCCTCCTCCTCCTCCTCCTCCTCCTCCTCCTCCTCCCGGGGAATGGGGGAATGGGTTTGCCCCCCCCCCCCCCCCCGGGAGCTCTTGGGAGGCGTCGCGAGGCCGCCGGGAGCCCCGGCACCCCCACAGGGAAATGGGCCTGCCCTCCTGCCAGGCCCTGGAACGCGGGTTATATGTATCGGTGTATATATATATATATATATACATATTGGAAATGTTTATTAAACAAGGAGGTCCTACCATATACCGAATCATACATAGAGACAGACAGAGCGATGTGTATGTACAGGAATACACTTGTGTACGTATGTATGTATGCATGCATGCATGCATGCATGCATGTGTGCATCTTTTCTTCGTGTATCCACATATGTACATACACACATATATATATACATATATACATATATATATATATAAATATAAATAATACACGTGCAGCGGGGGACCGGGACAAAATGGAGGTCCTGGGTCCCCGGGATGCCACTTCGGGTCCCGCATGCTCTCCGGGCGGCCCGGAACCTCTCCAAGAGGGCTCCAAGACGCCCCCGGAGCTCCCGCCGGGAAGCTTCCCGAGTAGGCCGGTGGTCCTATACTGCCGCCAGGGGGTCTTCCAGGACGCCCTGAGACCGCGCTCAGCAGTCCGAGCCGCTGCCCGATATCCCAAAACATAGATTTTCCATTGATTCATGCTTAGTTTTATCGTCGTCGCCCTTTAGGCTTCCCGACGCTTCAGGGTGGCTCGCGAGCCCCCCGAGCTCGCCCCGAGACAGGCACAACAGGCCCCCACGAGAGCTGGGGAGCCCCAAGACGGCCCAGGAGGCGCCATGGACGCCCAACCTCCTGCCCGGGCGGCCCGAACCCGCTTCAAGCAGACCCCCGGACGCCCTCGGACTCCTCCAGGGGGCTGCCAGAGTCGACTGGTGGTCCCACAGTGCAGCCGCAGGCTTGAGCAGGGAACCCCGAGCCCCGAGACCGTTCTCAGATGGCCTTCCGAGCGCTCCCGGCTGCCGAAAACGTGGATTGCTTTTCCTAGGTGTTCAATGATTGTAGTGTTCTCCCCTTTCTGGACCCCCGCCCTCTCAAGACGGCCCATGAGGTTCCAAAGTTCGCCCCGAGAGACCCAAGACGGCCCAAGGGGCGGCCAAGACGCCCCACGTCCTTCCCAGGCGGCACGAAACCGCTCCAAGAAGACCCCAAGACTCCGTCGGACCTTCCCAGGAGGGCTCCCAGAGACGGCTGGGCCAGAGGCTCCAGCAGGACGCGTCGAGACCGCTTTCGTAATAGTAAGAAAGTCTTGTTTCTGTTCCTCTATTGGCTGTCAATGATGTCCGTATTCTGGTTTTTGGTCGGGCTCCCGACACTTCAAGACGGGCCGCGGGGCACCCAAGTTTGCCCCAAGACGGCCCACCAGGCCCCAAACATTGCCCCAAGGCGGCGCAATAGAATATCCCAAGAAACGCCTGAGAGGGCCCTCAACGGTCACCGAAATCCGCCATTCGAGCCGAGATTTGGCGCCCTCGGCCCCAGGATGACCTCCCAGACCGCCAGCATGCTCCCGTGAGCTCCGAAAGAAGCTCCAAGAGGCTCCCAAGAGGCTCACAAGAGGCCCCCAGAGGCCCCCACGATGCTCCCGAGAAGCCCGAGGACAGGCAAAAAACACCTCCACGAGGCGTCCGAGAGGCCTGCCGAGAGATCCCCCCCTAGAGGCACTCAACAAGCCTCCCACCTACAACCCAGGCGCGGTAACGGGATGGGCGGAAATCCGCCAGAGGCTCCACCAGGACGCCCTCCGACCGCCCTCAGATGCTCCTCCGAGCGCCCTGGGAGGCGAAGCAAAATATGGTCGTTCGCTAAGCTTTCGCCCTCTCGTGCTCCCTGCCCTCTCACCGCCGCAGGCTTCCCGCGAGGTGTCCAGGATCCCCCCGCAGACGGCCCGATACGCCTCCACCAGCGCCCGGCAGACAGCCCACGAGAGACCCGAGACCGGCCAAGTGGCCACACCAAGAGGGCCCACAAGACCTGCAAGAGACCTCCACGGCTGCCCTCCGAGAGCCACAACCAGGCACCGAACATGCACCCGGAGGGCCCTCCCGACGCCCACACACGGCACCAAGCGACCGCCAAGAGTCCTCGAGAGGATCCAAGCAGGTCTCGCGTTTGGGTCAGTGTGGAGGGTCATGGTTGCCCTGGCGCTGGCTCGCAGAGACGATGTCCTCCAGCTGCACCCTCGCAAGCAGACAGTAGAAAGGTGTGGAACATGTAAGGGAGTAGCATCAGGTGAGGAGGAGCAGGGCCACCCACTGGGTGGAATGCATTTCGGCATTCCCAGGCCGAACTGAAATGTGGGTGCATTTGGGAGAAGGAGAACGAGGATGAGGCTGAGGAGGAGGATGACGTCGGATATTATCAGGCGCTGGGGAAAGGTTTCCATAGTGACTCAGATCCTAAACATCCGGTTGCCTGGCGCAACCGCCAACGTTGTTCAAGAGACACATCCTTTGCTTGTCCGCGTTCTTCCTACCAATTCAGTCCATGCTTCACCAGGTCATGGGTGCACCCTTGAGTGCAGGTAGACGTGGTCGAACACTGGACCGTGCTAGAACAGGATGAGGATTAGGATGAGGATGATGATGAGGATGATGATGCTGATGCTGATGCTGATGCTGATGATGATGCTGATGATGAAGATGACGATTCTGATAATGCTACTGATGATGATGCTGATGCTGATGCTGATGCTGAGGATGATGTTGACGATAACGATGAGGACGATGATGCTGTTCATGCTACTGCTGATGATGATGCTGATGATGATGATGATGATGAGGATAACAAGGAGGAGGAGAAGGAGGAGGATGAGGATGTGGATGAGGATGATAATGATGACGATGACGCTGATGATGATGACTTCGACGACGACGATGATGATGATGACGATGATGATGATGCTGACGATGCTGATGACGACGATGATGATGATGAGGATGCTGCTCATGCAGATGTTGATGCCGATGCTGTTGCTGATGATGGTGGTGGTGGTAGTGTCATGATGATGCTGATGGTAACGTGATGATGCGATGATTCGATGATGTGATGATGTGATAGTGTGATTATGTGGTGATGGTGTCAGTGATGATGGTGCTGATGGTGGTGGCTGTTATGATGCTGATGACGATGATGAAGACGATGACGATGACGATCACGATGTTGTTGATGATTCTGATGATGTTGGTTCTGCTGTATGGTGTTGGCGAACATGATGAGGACGTCGTTCATGACCATGACGATGCCGATGGCCATGACGATGCTAATGATGCTGATGACGTTGTTGATGATGCTGATGATGCTGACGATGCTGATGATGATGATGATGATGATGATGATGATGATGATGATTCTGATGATGCCGATGATGATGATGCTGATGATGATGATGCTGATGATGACAATGATGATGCTGATGCTGTTGTTGATGATGTTGATGATGACGATGATGATGCTGATGATTCTGATGATGCCGATGATGATGATGCTGATGGTGATGACGATGATGATGGCAATGATGAGGCTGATGACAACGTTGATGATGGCGATGCAGTGGATGATTACGAGGTCGAGGATGATTACGGCGACGACGCTGTTGACGATGATGATGGTACTGCTGCTGATGATGATTATTATGATGATTATGCGGCTGATGATGATATGTGATGATGCTGCTGTTGATGATGATGAGGATTCTGATGCTGCTGATGATGATGCTCATGATGATGCTGCTGATGATGATGGTTTTAGTGATGATGATGCTAATGGTGGTGGCTGTGCTGTTGATGCTGATGATGATGATTCTGCTGCTGATGATGCTGATGTGACGGTGGGATGATGTGATGACCATGACGATGACGATGCCGACGACGATGATGACGATAATGATGATGGCAACGACGACGATGACGATGACGATGATGATGACGATGCTGTTGATTTTGCTGATGATGTTGGCTATGACATATGATGTTGGTGATCAACATGGAGACGTCGCTTTTGACCATGACTATGCCGATGACGATGACGATCACGATTATGATGATGCTCATGCTGATGCTGATGCTGATGCTAATGATGATGATGATGATGAAGATGATGATGGTGATGATGATGATGATCATGATGATGATGCTGATGATGATGATGATGATGATTCTGCGAATGCTGATGATGCTGACGCTGATGCTGCTGCTGATGACTCCGATGATGATTTTGATTTTGATGGTGACGACGACGACGATGATGCTGATGATGATGATGCTGATGATGATGCTGATGATGCTGATGATGATGCTGATGATGATGATGATGATGATGAAGTTGATGATGATGATGATGATGATGATGATGATGATGATGATGATGCTGATGATGATGATGATGCTGATGATGCTGATGCTGATGCTGATGTTGATGATGATGATGATGGTGATGATGCTGCTGATGATGATGATGATGATGATGATGATGATGATGATGCTGATGATGATGATGATGATGATGATGATGATGATGATGATGATGATGATGATGATGATGATGATGATGATGATGATGATGGTGTTGTTGATGATGATGATGATGATGATGATGATGATGATGATGATGCTGATGCTGATGCTGATGGTGACGAAGCTGATGCTGATGGTGATGATTATGCTGATGATAGTGAGGAGGAGGAGGAGAAGGAGGAGGATCAGGAGGAGATGGAGGAGGAAGAGGAGGAGGAGGAGGATGAGGAGGAGGAGAGGGGGGGGGGAGGAGGAGGAGGAGGAGGAGGAGGAGGAAGAGGTGTTGGAGGAGGAGGAGGAGGAGAAGGAGGAGGAGGAGGAGGAGGGAAAGAAGGAATAGGAGTAATAGGTTGAAGGAGGAGGGGAAGGGGAGAAGGAGAGGAGAAGAGGAGGAGGAGGAGAAGGAGGAGGAGGAGAGGAGGAGGAGGATCAGGAAGAGGAGGAGGAGGAGGAGGAGGAGGAGGAGGAGGAGGAGGCCAAGGAGGAGGACGACAACGAGGAGTAGGAGTAGACAGAGGAGGAGGAGGAGGAGGAGGAGGAGAGGAGGAGGAGGAGGAGGAGGAGGAGGAGGAGTTGGATGAGGAGGAGGAGGTGTTGGAGGAGGAGGAGGAGGAGGAGGTGTTGGAGGAGGAGGAGGAGGTGGAGGAGGTGTTGGAGGAGGAGGAGGAGGAGAAGGTGGTTCAGAGGTGTGGGTGCAGTGCTAGCTTCTCTGCGATGCGGTCTTGCTCGCGGTGCGCGTACGAGAGGGCGCGCGAGCGCGGCGCGCTCGCGACGGTGCGGTCGCCTCGGGCTGAGGACGGTAGCCCGCTGTCGCAGTTCCTCGCCAAGGCGGCGCCTCTCAGCGCGCCAGAGCGGGGCACCGTCTTGGCCAACTCGAAGGACGTCGCGACCGCGTCCCCTTTGCCCATCTCTCTTGGGTTTCGGAGGTTGGAGGGGGTTGTGCATGGTGCACGGAGGGCAGGCAGTCCTGTACCTACGGGGACCAGCCAGGAGATTTAGACACCCTGCTCAACCGCGCTTTCTCCTTCCCTGGGGCTCGCACGAACAGTTTCCAGTGCCGCCAGCGCAACTAACACATTTTGCCACAACTTTGAAGTAATTTCAAAAACTTAGATATGTGGTTCAGAACGGAGCAGGTCCTTCCGGTTATCTTGACCTTGACCAGCACGGGCTCGCTCATTGACGCAGTGCGAGCTGGTGGCGGTAGAGGGCGGACAAGGTTGGAGGACATTGCCCACTGATATATGATTGCGATATGTCCAAGGAGTATAATTTGCGTTTGGCATCTGTGCCCCCGTCGTTTTGCAACATCCTCGCTCCTTTGCCCTGATGGCCAAGCGGAGCATCGCTATCAATTCCGAAGGATCTGGTTGCATCAGGTGCTGATGCTTGTTGTTTGGACCAGTGAGCGTAGCATGTTTGCTTGGTTCGCTGGACTTTCCCCGTGCCGATGCGCAAGCTTATTCGAGCGGCCCCAGCTGTCACTTTTCCAACTGCCAGGTCAGCGCATCTGATCCCCCAGACAGTTCATGCAGAGAAGGAGTGAGGAGGAGAGGGAGGAGGGAGGAGGGAGTCCCCCAGGGCCGTAGCCGCCTGGCTCAATGAGAGAAGGGGCGCGCCCCCCACCGGCAGAGCCCGCGGCCGCTGGCGCGCGGCACCACCCCCCGTCGGCGCGTGCGCGCCGCTTCAGCGCCAACGTTGGGGGGGAATGGGCTCAGGGGGGATGCGTCGACCCCCGATCGGCCCTTGAACGTCGATGGGCGCGCGGTGGCCCCACTCCGCCCAGGAGCGCTCGCACCCGCCGTCTGGGACCTGTCGTCGATCCATCGGCGATGCCTCGCCGGTTCCAGGGCGATGCCTCGCCCCCGAGCTGGGCCCCTCCCAGCGTTGGCCCCCCCCCCCCAGCGTGGCTGCCCGCAGGGTGCGGCAGGCGCGCCGGCCGCAGGAGGGCCTCGGCGACGCCGAGCAGGCCGAGGGCGCGGAGAGCGCGGGCGGGGCGGAGGTCGCTGCTGCGGCCCCCGGCGTCTCCGCGGCGCGGTCGCCGGTGCCGGCAGCGGGCTCCGCTGGTGCCGGCCCGTGGTTGCGAGCGCCTGCGCGCTGTCGGCCGCGGGCGCACTGCGGGTCTACGTGGCCTGATTTTGGGATGCCGGTTTTGGGCCTTTCCCCCCCCCCCCCGCCCTGTTCGCATGGCTCAGTGAATGCGTTTTGTTGCGTGGCCTGCCTCTGTCATGTTTGCACCTGTGTGCGATAGACATACGTGGTTTTGTGGGCTTCGAGGGGTTCTCGCTCCTCGGCAGCTTTCTGTGGTCGCTCCTGGGGCGCGATTCGATGCATGGGCTTCTCTAGTGCAGGATGAGAGGTCCACTGTTTCAAGCTCGCTTGGTACTTCATGCATGTTGTTTCGGGTATTTCGGTGTGCGCTTGCCCCCTTTCCTGCCGTGATTATCGTTTTTGGTTTGCTTGTGATTTTGACAACGCTCCGTGCTCCGTTTGCAGCGGTGGGGTGCAATTTAGGGTTGTAGAGCATTCCCAACGGCTGTTTCGGAATAGTTTGCACATGCGTGACGTTTTGCCGTATTTCTTTTTATGCTGTGCAGAATGCTGATTCATGTCTGCGTTACGAGTGCTCTGGGTCTCGCATGCTAAGGGCCCTCGTACCAGCATGGCGGCACCACATCAAGGTTGAGGCTTCTTCCATAATTGAGCGTTGCAGGTCAGTAAAAAACGGCACGTGTGCCACATTCCCATTCTCCAGCCCTACCCCCCATCCCCCTCCATCTAGTCCCACTCCTTCTTCAAATGTTATCCGTAAGGGCTTCGCCCCCTGCCGCCAGCCCCCTCTCTCGGAGAATGGGCCATGGAAGAGCTAAGTCATGAGGCCTTGGCGCTGTCGTGAAGCAGTATCGAAACTTCATGCGAAGCCGATTCGCAATCAGCAAAACCAACTGATCACAAGAGGGGTTACCACACCTGGCGATTGGTAAGACGTGTATGGTTTACGGGCTTGGTTACCACACCTTGCGATTAAAGGGCCGAGGGAGTTCTCGCAGTTTGGGTTACCACGCCTTGCGATGGATGTGCGTGAAGGGTGGCACCGAATTTCAGAAATGTGGCAAATCCCCTGTGTTTTTGGACCCTGACCCCGCGGATCTGCGTGAGGGGTGGCACCGAATTTCAGAAATGTGGCAAATCCCTTGTGTTTTTGGACCCTGACCCCGCGGATCTGCGTGAGGGGTGGCACCGAATTTCAGAAATGTGGCAAATCCCCTGTGTTTTTGGACCCTGACCCCGCGGATCTGCGTGAGGGGTGGCACCGAATTTCAGAAATGTGGCAAATCCCTTGTGTTTTTGGACCCTGACCCCGCGGATCTGCGTGAGGGGTGGCACCGAATTTCAGAAATGTGGCAAATCCCTTGTGTTTTTGGACCCTGACCCCGCGGATCTGCGTGAGGGGTGGCACCGAATTTCAGAAATGTGGCAAATCCCCTGTGTTTTTGGACCCTGACCCCGCGGATCTGCGTGAGGGGTGGCACCGAATTTCAGAAATGTGGCAAATCCCTTGTGTTTTTGGACCCTGACCCCGCGGATCTGCGTGAGGGGTGGCACCGAATTTCAGAAATGTGGCAAATCCCTTGTGTTTTTGGACCCTGACCCCGCGGATCTGCGTGAGGGGTGTTGATTTCGAGCCCCCCCAGCAATTCAGACAACGCGCCCAGGGGGTGCTAAAAAGCCGGTTTGGGCCTCCCCCCCCCTCGCGCGGTCAATCAACTAGTTACAGTAACCAGCAATAAGTCAACTAGTTACAGTAACCAGCAAGAAGCAGAACTGTAACACTGGAAACTACAAGCTACAACTGGTACAGGAAACTGCGAACCTCGCTCCTACAGCCTGGTGGCCCCACAAGGGGGCCGGCGGATTGCCGCCTGCAAGATCCGAACTCTCAAATTCTCATTCGTGCTTCTCCATTGTAAAGGCTTTGCCCCGTCAACTCGCGGCCCGGCAAACTGAGACAGCATGCAGCCCCCAGCCGTGCCGAGGATTTGCAGGAGATGTCCGACACCACAGCTGCAGCTGGAGGGCGGGGGTGGTGGCTGTGATCTTGGATGGTCGGTTCGGGCTTGTGGAGCGGCAGGCAAGGAAGGCTCGGGAGGGGCATGACGATGATGGGAGCGTTGGACACTTTGGCCATCGCCTCGACACTCTTGGGCCACGCGGACACTTTTCATCTCCTCCCCCCAACCCGAGTCGAACATCTCCGTGGTGAGGGTGAGGGCGAGGTGGGAGGACACTGTTTCTAGTCGGCCTGGAGGAGGGAGGGTGAGGAGGAGAAGGAGGAGGAGGAGGAGGAGGAGGAGGAGGAGGAGGAGGAGAGGGACGGACCATGCGGTTTCCCCTTTTCGTTCCATGTGATCAAACGCTCAGCACCGAGCGATTTGTTTGTCAGCTGGCTATCTACAGTGCGCCTTTCCAACGCCATGCTGAAGTGTTTAGGCGGAGGTTCTGTCTCCCCAGTCGGACAGACAAAAGGGACCACATGAGATCAGAACAGGAATGTGGACATATTGCAAGATGCTCACGCGACTATCGTTCTTCTCCATCTTCAGCCTTCTATTGGTAGGATGCGTCCCTCAGACGGGTCGCGGGGCTACCACAAGTTCTGTTGCCACCGTGTCTTGCCTTGCTCGCCAGCTCCCTGGTGCCTCCCTACGAAATCTTGCTCGCTGCTCTCCCAGCCACACATTGTTGGAGCGTTGGAAGTTGAGACAACGTCCTGAAGAGGCTGCCAGTCACCCACAGTCGTAGAAGGGCACAGAGCATTGAGAACGAGAGTGGGAAGGCGAAACAGAAGGCGCGGGCACCGACGACGCGAACGATTCTCACTTCATCACGTTCTTGCCTTTCAAGGACTCGTCGCCGGGATGCAGTACATAAGCGAGGGTGATGTTGAGGGTCTACCCGGCATAAAGTTGATAGCCGCATACGTGTGAGCATGATTTTTGCAATTACGTGCTTGGCAGCCCTAGCCATCGTTCGCTCACTATGTGATCGGAACTTGCTAGGCCGTACGATTACCTGAGAATGGCACGCGTGTCTGCAATGATCGGATAGTTATTGATTACAGCAGACGCGCACCTAGGGGCAAGCTGCTACATGTCAAATCGAGGTGCCCTGCCACCTCCCCAAACTAGTGCAACAAACACAACACACATCAATTCAACGCAACTCGAAGCAATGTTAGACAATACGATGCACATCAAGTCAAAGCACGTGGACGAATTGCGAAATAATGGGATGGAGGCATACATGCCAAGCAATTGAACGCAATGCGTGTTCAAAGCGAAACGATGCAGTTGAGTACAACACAGCAGCACAAACCACGGCATCGCGATACACGCTAACCACATTGCAATCAATGCAGATCAGTGCCGAACACCGCAAAGCAGAGCAGTGCACGCAATACGGCGCAATGCGCAGCAATGAATTCCCAAGCAACGCAAAGCAAGGGAACCCGAGGCCCCCCCCCCCGAGAATCCTCCACAGACCCCCCGAGGAACCCTGAAGGATCCGGGGGGAGGGCTGGGAGTCGCCACTGGTCGTTTTGCACGGAAGGGTTTTAGAAGCTTACCTAAGGTTGTTTTGTTTCGTGTTGCAGTCAATGACGTGATGTCAGCTGGTGGGGGCGTTACCGCGCACACCACGCACTTCCGTCCACGTATGCAGGGGTAGAAACAGTGTTCATGTATCTTGTCCACTGCCTAGATCCGCCTAGCTCCTACAATCAGTACCTGATTATTATAATTGTTATTCCTAGCAGACCCGTCCCATAGCAGAGCATGTTTGTGGTTCAGGCCAGGTAGTTGATCATTCCGAGGTACCAGATTCGTTTTTGTCCTTGACCAGCTGTCCTCATTACCTAAAGCCAACGGGACGAGGCTCCCAACGTTAGGGGCCTGGTGCCCAAAGCCGCTGGGGCGGGGCGCCAGGGGCCTGGTACCCCAAGCCATGGAGCCAAGTACCCAACGCCACTTCAAAGCCAGAGGCTCAGTGCCCAAAGCCATTAGGCCGGTAGGCAATACTCCTTCACGTGATGCAGCACAATACACCCTTTGGGAGACAATGCGATATTCCTTGAAGGAGGACAGTCCTGTCTTTCGGGGGACTCGGTCATACTCCCTGACCAGAGACAATTGAAACATTTCCTCCCGGATACAATCAGGCTGCGAGTTGCGGTGCAACCCAAGCAGACCTGGCAGTTTGCTCAATGATCCCTGGCGGGAGGGGAAGTAGTGCCCTTGACAGGAGACACGAGGAGAGGACCTTTCTCGTAAGCAGCGGGAGGAACAGGAAAAACAGACCAGAGCAACAATGGGAATTCCCTTGTCGCCTTGTCCATTCGATGGTCCAGCTCTTCCGTCCATGCCTCTTATGCGCCCCGCCTGAGTCTGCTCTCGCCCCCGTCGGCTCCGTCTACTCCGCCTCCGTTCTTGTCCTTTGGCCTCCCCCCCGGGTTCCCCTCTGTTCTCTCAGGCTCCCGCATCTTGTGATCTTTCCTCTGGCGCTCTTCTGCGTGTCTTCCGTTGACCGCCTGCTTGTCCTACCCAGCCGCGCGTGTGCACCCGCTTGGGGTCTTGCGGCTCCCGGTCGGTTCCTCTTCGGATGTGCCCCAGAGAGACTTGCGGCCCGCGCAGGTCTGCGAGGCGCGTGCCGGTCCCTGGCTCGCCGCGAGCGCCTCCCGCTCCCGCCGACCAGCAGACGCGTGAGCGCGTGCGCGTGCGAGCGAGCAGTCCCACGGTCCACAGACGCCGAGTCGGGTTTGTCGGATCGAGTGGCAGCGAGCGCGTCTCTGGTAGGCTTCTTCGTCCGAGGAAAGGGGGCCGAGACAACGGGGGACGCTGCTGCCTTCGTGCCCTTGCTTCGGGTATGACATCTGCATGAGCATCGCCCTCGTAACTCCACGCGACCCTCTGCCACTTCATGATGCTGTTGTTCGTCTGTTCGTCCGTTGCTGCCCGCTCGTGCTTGTGAGGGCGCGAGGTAATTGGCGCTTCGCGCTTCGCGCTTCGGCTCCGATTCCTCCTCATCCTCCTCTTCTCCCCGGGGGGCGGCGCGAGCGCGCGAAGTTGTTCGCGCTTCGCGCTTCGCGCAACGCGACGCGCGAAGTTAGGCATGTTTGCTTCGTCTTCTCCGAAGGCCAGGCAATCCCCCGGCCTTCAGAGAAGTTTCCTAAGCTTTCCCCGAAGACGCAGCAAACATTTCAGAAGGCGCGAGGGTTTCTGAGAAGTCCCGCCGCCTTCTGAGAAGGCCTCCTCCTTCTCGCTTCCCCCCCTCGCTCGCCGCCGATTCAGAGCGCCAGGGGAAGCTGTATGAGCTGGACGGCCGCACCTTTGGCGAGGACGGCGTGGCCTTCCCGGTGCGAATTCGTGGGGGCTCCTGCTCGGTGCAGCACGAGCCTATCGGGCAATACCACGGGCGGTCTCCGCTAGGGGCGTCGACAGCTCCTCCAGAGAGTCTAGGTTTTAAGCCATCCTCCCTTCTCCCTCCCCCTCTTTTGCCCTCCCTCCTCCTCCTCCTCCCTCCTCCTCCTTTCTTCTCCTCCTTCCTCCTCTTCCTCCTCCTCCTCCCTGCTCCTTCCTCCTCCTCCTCTCTCCGTCTCCTCCCTCCTCCTCTTCCTCCTCCTGCTTCTCGGGGGCGGCCAAGAGGGCGGTGATGACTAGGGGGGGATGGATATCAGGCTGGGGCCATGATATCTCCCGAGATTTCATGGCCCTTCTTCTCGTTCCAATGCGTCCCTTGGCTCCCCCTGGGCCGCGCACATGCCTCGGACCATGATTTGCGAACTCCCCTCTTGGACGCCCCCCTCTTGGACGCCCTTGTCTATGACGCTCCCGAGTTTTAGGATCGAGTGCCGATGAGGTTTTTGGACGATCGGTGGGGCGTTTGGGGATGTTCTCGACAGGCTCGGAAGATCCTGAGGGTTCCTTCTCCTCGAGAGGGTGGCGACAACCCAGGGCCCGTGCGGGCGACCCCCATGGCATTGCCCGGGCATTGATAGTCCATCATCGTGATATGTGTGTGTGTGTTTGTTCAATGTCCTTTCTTTTTGCTGATACATGTCTGCCTGTCTGTCTGTCTGTCTGTCGGTCTGTCTGTACGTGTATATGTATGTATATGTATATCTATATATGTATGAATGCATGTCTATATGCATGTATGCATGTATGTAGGCATGCATGCATGCATGTATGCATACATAATACGTATAGCCATAGGCGTGCGATATGTATATGCGCATTTAATATAATCACATTCAAACACACACGTAGGTGCATGTATGTTTGTATGGGTGTATGCATGTACGCACGTACCCGCGTATGTATGTATGTATGCGCACACAAGCACATATATACATAAGCTACATGTCTGGATGTGTGTGTGTGTTTGTTTGTAGGTGTGTGTTTGTATGTATGATCGTATGTATGTGTGACTATATGTATGTATGTATGCATGTATGCATGTATGTATGTATGCATGCATGCATGTATGCATGCATGTATGTATGTATGTATGTATGCATGTATTTACGTCTGCATTTGCGCATGCATGCATATATGTATATATGTGCCTGAATGAAGGTATACGTGTGTATATGGTTGTATGTATGCATGTGTGCATGCATGCATGTTTGTATGTATGCATGCATGTGCGTATACATATACGCATGTATGGATGTAGTCATGCCTATAGGCATGTACGTAACATGTTTGTATGTATGTACGGACTCAACGATGCATGCATGCATGCATGCATGCATGCATGCACGTATGCATCTCGATGTACGTTACCGTGTTGCAGTATTATGTGGTCTATTATGTCGCATGGTATTGCATTGCATTGTAGTACATTGTAGTGTAATGTAGAGTAGTGTGTTGTTTTGTCTTGTCTTGTATTGTCTTGTCTTGTCCTGTCTTGTCTGATATGGTATGGTACGGCATGGTATGTGTGTATGTGTGTCTGTCTGTCTGCCTGTCTGTCTGTATGTACGTATGTATGTTTGTATGCACGTATGCACGTATGAGTGTATGTATGTGTTTGGGTGGGTGCGCACATATTCCTCTTCCTACATGTTTACCGCCCGGGGGGGGGGGGGGGGAAAACCCCCCCCCCCCCCTCCCCCCCAAAACTGGACCCCCGGGATCTGTGGTTCTCGGGCTCCCTTGGACGTCCTTGGAAAAGGTCACCCGGCTTTCCGGGTCTCCACAAACGCCTTGCCAGCAGACCCAGAGCGATCCGAGGGGTCATCAGAAAGACTCAAGGGAGGCCCCAGACAGCACAAGAGCGCTCCAAGAGGGACTCCAATTGCGTCAGGACTGCCCAAAAGACCCCCAAGGCACCCCAAAAAGCTTTCCAAGGGGCCTTCAAAGCACAAGCATCGTCCCATTTCCTTTGTAAAACTTACAATTTTAGCATATTCGCCTTTCGGATTTCATCAGCTTTCAAGACGGTTTCAAAGCCCCCGAGATCGCCTCCAGACGCCCCAAAAGGCCCCCAAGAAAGCTTCAAGACGGCCGAGCCGGGCCCCACGATCGCCCACGAGAGCCCTAAGACAGCCCATAATGAAACCAAGAGGCCCCCCAAGGGCTCCCAGCACAGACCCAAAAGGGCCATGGGAGGTCCCCGGAAGTGCCCAAGATGGGTCCAAAGGGGGCTCCAGCGGGCCCAAGCTCCCCAAGACGGCCCAAGAAGGCCCCAGGACGGCCCATGAAGGCGCCAAAACGGCCCACGAGGGCCCCGAAAACACCCCCACGATGTTTCCGAATGCCAACATAAAGACCCCCAAGGCACCCCAAAAAGCTTTCCAAGGGGCCTTCAAAGCACAAGCATCGTCCCATTCCCTTTGTAAAACTTACAATTTTAGCATATTCGCCTTTCGGATTTCATCAGCTTTCAAGACGGTTTCAAAGCCCCCGAGATCGCCTCCAGACGCCCCAAAAGGCCCCCTAGAAAGCTTCAAGACGGCCGAGCCGGGCCCCACGATCGCCCACGAGAGCCCCAAGACAGCCCATAATGGAACCAAGAGGCCCCCCAAGGGCTCCCAGCACAGACCCAAAAGGGCCATGGGAGGTCCCCGGAAGTGCCCAAGATGGGTCCAAAGGGGGCTCCAGCGGGCCCAAGCTCCCCAAGACGGCCCAAGAAGGCCCCAGGACGGCCCATGAAGGCGCCAAAACGGCCCACGAGGGCCCCGAAAACACCCCCACGATGTTTCCGAATGCCAACATAAAGACCCCCAAGGCACCCCAAAAAGCTTTCCAAGGGGCCTTCAAACAAAACATCGTCCCATTCCCTTCGTAAAACTTACAATTTTAGCATATTCGCCTTTCGGATTTCATCAGCTTTCAAGACGGTTTCAAAGCCCCCGAGATCGCCTCCAGACGCTCCAAAAGGCCCCCTAGAAAGCTTCAAGACGGCCGAGCCGGGCCCCACGATCGCCCACGAGAGCCCCAAGACAGCCCATAATGGAACCAAGAGGCCCCCCAAGGGCTCCCAGCACAGACCCAAAAGGGCCATGGGAGGTCCCCGGAAGTGCCCAAGATGGGTCCAAAGGGGGCTCCAGCGGGCCCAAGCTCCCCAAGACGGCCCAAGAAGGCCCCAGGATGGCCCATGAAGGCGCCAAAACGGCCCACGAGGGCCCCGAGAACACCCCCGCGATGTTTCCGAATGCCAACATTCATTGATTTTGCACCCATGACATTTCACATTGTGACCCAGTCGTTGAGGGTCTCGTGGCATGCAGCGAAGATGCCCGAGGATGCCCCGTACGAGTTGCATATGCATGCTCATATCCTGACACACATAAATTTATATGTACATTTGTACGCTGTATACGCATACAACAATGTAAGTATATTGTCTACACCTGATTTATACGGAACGTGCATTCACGTGCGCGTGTATACATGCATGCGCGCATGTACGCACGCACGCACTCTGCTTGCGTGCAGAACTCAAAGGACCAAGGTGCATGGCGCGCAGCGCCAATGCAGTCTTGTATATATGCATCTATATACACACACCAGCACACATCTATCATATATGTATGCGTAAACACATGTATACACGAATGTGTACGTATATGGTATCGTATGGTGCGGCATGGTATGGTATGGTATGGCATGACATGATATGTGTGTATATACGTAGGCATGTCTGTACATTTACACACATACAAACATGTATGTATATATATATGCATAACTGCATGTATGTATGTAGATGTGCACGTATTTATGTATGACTGTATGCATGTATGTAGGTATGTACGTATGTATGTGTGTATGCATGTATGTATGTATGTATGTATGTATGTATGTATGTATGTATGTATGTATGTATGTATGTATGTATGTACATATGTATGTATGTATGTATATATGTATGTATGTATGTAGGTATGCATGGATACACGGATGTATGTATGTATGCATGTATGCATGTATGTATGTATGTATGCATGCATGTAGGTATGTAGGTATGTAGGTATGTAGGTATGTAGGTATGTAGGTATGTATGTATGTATGTATGTATGTATGTATGTATGTATGAATGTATTTATGTATGCATGTATGTATGTATGTATGTATGTATGTATGTATGTATGTATGTGTGTATATGTATGTACGTATGTATGTATGTATGTATGTATGCATGCATGCATGCATGCATGGATGGATGTATGCATGCATGCATGCATGTATGTATGTATGTATGTATGTATGTATGTATGTATGTATGTATGTATGTATGTATGTATGTGTGTGTGTATTGATGTACGTGTGTACGAATCTTGGTATGTGTGTATGTATGTAGGTATGTAGGTGTATGTGATATATATATATATATATATATAATATGTGTGTAGGCTCGAATGGGGGTTCAGACCGCGGCCGCGGGCATGGGGGCCACGGGCGGCCCGAGGGGTTCTGGGCGAGACCCTGTGGATTCTCGGACAGCTCCAGAGGCCGCCAGGACCAGTTCGAGACCGCCCCGGGCGCCCCGCGAGCGTTCCAGACGCGCCAAGGTGGCCCCAAGGAGAGCTAAGAGTCCCCCAAGATGCCCACAGAGGGCTCAGTGATGGCCCCACAGAGGGCCCCAAGAAGCCACACTCGTCCCATTCCTAGATCAAAACGCGCATATTTAGCGTAAACGGCATTCGGGCTTCCACAGCGTCCTCGACACCCCAAACGGCCCCCCAACCGCCCCAAGACGGCCCAAGAGGCCCACAAGAGAGTCCGAAGCCGGCCCCAGAGAGCCCCAAAACGGCCCAAGAGGCGCCCAAGATGGCCACAAGAAGGCTCCAAGAGGGCTTCACTATTGTCTAAGAGAGCCCCTCAGACCTCCAGTGGGCCCCGAGAGGGCACCCAGAGGCCCCATGAGGCCCCCAAACAGCACGTACAGAGGCCCCAAGAGGCGCCCAGATGGGCCCGAACAGAGCCCAAAGAGGTTTCCCAAGACACCCCACGCGTCGTCCTAATTAGGCCCGGCCTCTGACTCACTTGGTAGCAGCCGTCGTTCGAGTCAAGTGCTCCCGCTTCGCGGCGGCGCGAGATGCTCCTCCGGTCCAGCCTGCCGTGTTCCCTCCTTCTCGTAGCCTTCCCTGCCTCCTACGCCTTCTGCTCCGCAGCCTCCTTATCCCCCGCTCGGTCCCCCGCCGTCCTCGCCCTCTTCAACCTCCTCTTCTTCCTCATACTCGCCCTCTGTACCCCTTTACCCCCTGCCCTCCCTTATGTCCCATCTCCACCTGTTCCTCCGTTCTTGTGCCTTTCTTTCCTCTCTTGTCTCTCCTCCCCTGTGGGGCGGCCCCGCACGCCGGGTATCCCGGCAATTGGATATACGTATATGCATATGTATTGGTATATGCGTATGCGCATGCATATGTGTAGGCCTGGTTGCCTGCCTGCATGCACGTATGTATGTAAGCATGTCTGTCTGTCTGTCTGTCTGTCTGTCTGTCTATCTGTCTGTCTGTCTGTCTGTCTGTCTGTGTGTATGTATGTATGTATGCATGCATGCATGCATGCATGCATACATACATGCATACATGCACATGTATGTATGCATGTATGCATGCATGCATGCATGCATGCATGCATGTATGTATGTATGTATGTATGTATGTTTGTATGTTTGTATGTATGTATGTATATGTGTATGTATGTATACATGTATGTATGTATTTATGTATGTACGTATATGGTGGTATCAATTATGTATGTACTTTTGTTTGTGTGTATGTAAAGTTCTATATATGTTTACATATACATGTGCGTGTACGCATGCATACACGCATGCATGCATATATGCAGGCATGCATGTATGTATATATTGAATTCGTATACGTACATCCATACTTATTTAGACTTCTTATATATACATATATAAATGTATATGTATTCACTGCTACATACAGATGTATCCACAACTATACGTGCGTGTACGTATATATATATATATATACATACATACATACATGCATACATGTGTGTGTGTGTGTGTGTGTGTGTGTGTGTGTGTGTGTGTGTGCGTTCCTGGGGTCTGGGCTCCGCCGAGCTGCCCCCCCTGCACGTTTCCAGGTTCCCGGCCTTCGGAGCCTTCGAGGGCGCCCAGATAGGGTATCTAGACGGCCACGGGAGGCCTAAGAGGCCCCCAGGACGCGCCAAGAAGCCACCGAGACGGCCCACGGACGCTCGAAGAAGCCCAAGATAGCTCCAAGTAGGCCCAAGAGGGTCCCCAAGCTTTCCACGAGGGCATCGAGAGGACCCACAGGAGGGCCCCAGGAGACAATAATCATAGATTTCCGTTCGGTTTTCTGATAGGTTTGAGTGTTATCGCTTATTTGGCTTTCCAAAGTTTCAAGACGGCCCAGGAGGTCCCCCAAAACGTACCAAGACGGGCCGTCTTAGACGGCCCAAGAGGCCCCCGTGACGGCACGAATGCGACCCAAGAGCGACAAGACGGTCCAAGAGGCCGCCAAGTCGGCCTAGCCCCAAGACAGAGGCAAGAGCGGGGATCCAAACGGAGATTTAGAACCCAGACGCCAAAAGACTTGCGAAGGCCCCCGAGGCGCCCCCAAGAAGTCCCAAAAGGCCACCATGAGACCAACAAGAAACTCTCAGAGCGCCCCCCCCCGAAGCCCCCAACAGCACCCCAAGAGCGTCCCCCAAAAGGCACACAAGGAGACTCCCAGCACGGTTTTGCCAGGCTTTCATGGACTCTCGGGCATCCCTCCTTGGGCTGCCCTGGGTCCTCCTCGTGGCTGCCTTGCGCGCCTTCCTGGAGCTATCCTGGGCGCTTGCAAAGAACAGCTGGTATATTCGCCCTGCACGCATACCTATGGCGCAAAATCGTACTGGACGTCGCCTCCCAAAGAAAAGTGAGCCATGTCATCTGTCTGGTACCGTGTGTCTTGCAACATCCCAATGCTTCCCAGCAAGGCATTATACGGCCTAAGGAATCCCCATGGCCGCGCCCCAGACGGCTTCGACTGACCCTGGCAGCCCTTAGATTGTTTGAGTTGCCCCATACTATTGTCGAACAGGGTTACTAAGGGACCTTCCGAAAGCAGGCTCGAGATGCACAGGATATTTCAAGACCCTTACAGAGGATTCAGAGGCCACTAGCGTCCCGAAACCTCCCAGACCAGCTGCTCGTTGTATCTGCTCAGAGCAGCAGGATCTTTTGAGGCTTTTTCTTGCGACAGGAAGTGTACGTTCCCATATGGTGATCCTTGCTGGGTGATGTTCGTCTTCATCTGATCCTGAGAGGTTGGCTTGGGCTGCGCTAGAAGTTAACGCGCGAAGCGCGCGTGGTTTTAGTGCATGCATAGATTGTGTGTTGTGTGTGCTGTTAGCTGTTGGTGATGCTTCTTTTTCAAGCAGCATATGCTGACATGTTTTGTTGGTACCCGCTCAAGCTTTTTCGTTTCTGTGAAGAGATGCACCCGTACCGTACGGCTGAACTCATTCCAAGCGTGAGCTTAAATCGACCACTGCAGGCAGCTCTATTGGGCATCGGCGCATGGTCGTAGCAAATTATGAAAGCTGGGTTGGGCTGTGAGCATATGCCAGTAAAGGGATGACTTGGAGAGCTTGGTCAAAGGGTGGGTCAGCCGCAGGGAGGCCAACTTGCGCATGTGGAGGCACGCTCAGACATACAATGCTTTAAGAGATGACCGTGGCACCAGGTCGTCCACTGCGATACCACGCCCGACACCTGGGTGATGGATGCAGCGAGGTTGCCTCATGCCCCTTCTACTTCGCAGTACAATCGTGCCCGCTTGCATTTGGAAGTTGTGCTTCCATTCACTTGCAGAGTCTTCTTTGCGATACGTTGCATGTGAATCTTGCAATGTGGATCTGCACTCGCCTTGTGTCCTGCATACTCCTGGATGCATGTATGCTTAGTTGTTCATGCAGCAGGTAATGGAAGCGCGGACAGCTCCGAGGTATATCGTTGTCGTTTTAGCCTACGCCAGCACACTGTTTGCACGCATCGTCAATGTCTTGACGCTTCGCGTATCACCACCAGCCAGTTTGTGTCACAGGCTGCTTGTGTTCTGTTGGACTGACACGATTGGGGTCTTGCATCGCGCCACTTTGGCAGCGTAATTACTTCTCCCTGGGTGCTGGGTCCCCTTCAGACTCCCTGGGCAGCAGCACCCTTGCACCCGCCGCTCGGCGCCAGCCGCGGCACACGCGCGCCTCCGGCCAATTTGTAGCGGCCGCAGCCCGACCGTTACCCGCCGCCGCTGGCGCTTCCGCCCGCGGCGGTAAAAAAAAAAGTATCGCCACCAGCCCATCCAAAACGATGTCCAAGCGAGTTGCAATAATCGAGGAAGTGTGAGGCCGCCGGTTTCTTATCCATTGTCTCGCCGATCGGCGCGTGCCCCTGGCCTCCCCCCTCTCCCCCTCCATTGGCTGCTCTTGGCGGCTGCTTTGGCGACTGGTCAGGGCCCCTCTCCCCCAGTCCGCTTGCGCGGCAGGCAGAAGCAGATCGATTAAGCACCAGCCCAGACCCAGACGCCCCCCCCCCTCCCCCACCCTTCGGCCAAAGGTCGAGACCCTGAACAAAAGAACGCCTACAGGAGGATCCGGTGGAACAATAAGGTGGGAGTTGGGTGTCAACCCGAAGCTCGCCCAGGAGGCAATCATACGTGCCCCCTCGGGCCTCTCGATGTGAGAGCCCCTTGGCGGCCTACTCGGGCCATCTCGGAGCCATCTTGGGGCCATGTTGGATGCCCATGGGGCTCACTTCGGGCAGGGTGAGGCGGCAAACCCCTCCCCGAAGGAGACGAAAGGGGGGTGGCAGAACGAACTTGTTAAACCACCCATGCCCTAGAGGGCTGGTGGGCTGCACGAAGACGCTGGCTGACAAGTCTTCTATTCGACGGCGAGGTGACCCCTTGTGGCTCTAAGCTGATTCTTCCCTTGGCCTGCCCGTGTGCGCACATCTTACAAGGGTCATCCGAGAAGACTTCATGGCTAGGGACCCCGACAACCACAACTTCAATGTCACCGCGCTGTGCAAGCTCGACTGAGCGCCACGGGGCCTGCTGGCCACAGGTGTATGATGCCAGTCCTCGGACAAAAAAACAGGCGCTGCTGCACGGTAACACGGCATTGCTGGTGAACCGCAAGCGGGACTGAATTGTGGATGGACTCATCGGAATCCGGAAGCGTACATGCGTGCAGTTGTTTAGATGAAAAGGTGGTTGAGGGATATGCTAGTAAAGGTGGGGAGGACCGCGGCGCAGCATTTCGGAGCTTCCAGCGCATGCAGCTAGTGGTTCCCACGAGGCACAATACCATCGACCATGTTCTTCGACCGTTTCAGAATGCTTGACGGGCTTGACAGGAGGTCAGCATCTGATACCAATGTCTTAGGGCAGTGCGCCCATATAACATTCTAGGTTTGATTTGCACGCGGGGCGGCGATCTTGCATATGAGATAATTTGAGAGACTGCAGCTATGCAGTTTTATGCGTGTGCGCATCCTTTATCTCGTGATGACGGCAGATGCAGTTCAATATTGCCACACTTGCACTAGGAGCTTCGAGCCCTTAGCTCAATGTTCACGGTTGTGGCAGCTTCGTCAAAAAGCCCAATCCATTCAACATCACCCAAGCCGCGATCGCATTGGGGGTTCTTGTGTTTGCGCTGAGGGCTCTTGTGGCGTTCACGAATTTGGTGTGGACCGTGCGATCCCCAGACCCCCGAGGTGTTTTCCCAGCCCTCATGGGTGTTGGGTCCTCGTTCTGAGTTAGTGGCGCTGCACCCCTCCTCCTCCTCCTCCTCCTTCCCACCTCCCTCTCCCTCTTCTCCGTTTCCCCATCCTCCTTCTGTTCCTGACGCTTCACCTCCTCACCTCCTCTCCTTCTCTCCTCCTTTCCTCGTCCTCCTCATCCTTGTTATCAGCATCACTCTCGTCGTCGTCGGCATCATCATCGTCGTCAGCATCATCATCTTCATACTCGTTACCACCATCACTCTCACCACTGTTTCGCCACACCCTTCAAACTTTTTCGTTGCCCCGCCCCACCGAAGGCCCCAGTGGCTGCGTCCGCATGGTGATCCGACCTATTTCGGCGCACCCCTCAGACGTTCCGTGACCCCATAGGGATCTGCACCGAAGGCCCCAGTGGCTGCCTGCGCATGGCGGCCCGCCCCATTGCGGTGCAACCCTCAGACGTTCCGTGACCCCATAGGGATCTGCACCGAAGGCCCCAGTGGTTGCTTCCGCATGGCAGCCCGCCCCACTGCGGTGCAACCCTCGCACGTTTTGTGGCCCCCATAGGGAGTTGTACCGAAGGATCCAGTGGCTGCGTCCGCACGGTGCCCCGCCAAACTAACACGTTTCGTGGCACCATTGGGAGCCCCACCGAAGGCTCCAGTAATTGCGTCCGCATGGCGACCCGCCCCAGTGCGGTGGACCCCTCAGCCGTTGTCGTTAGCCCATAGAAATCCGCACCGAAGGCTCTACTGACTGCGCCCGCATGATGCCCCGCCCCATGTCGGCGCACCCGTTGCACGTTTCGTGGCCCATATGTGGTGCCTGCCTTATTTCGCCACACTCCTCACGCGCTACGTGGCCACACGAGAAGCTCCACCTAAGGCCCCATTGGCTGCGTTCGTCTGGTGCCTAGCCCCCTTTCGGCACACCCATCGCACGTTTCGCAGCCCCATAGGGAGCTCCACCGAAGGCCCCAGTCTGGGATCCACCGCTCGCCAGCCGTTTTGGCTCGGCTCCCCCCGCGGCGACGGTGAGGGGGGCTCTCCCCAGGGGAGGCGCTTAGGCGCGCCCCCGCCCGCTGGCGACAGGCAGTCGGGGCGCGCTGCCCGCGGCGTCGGGCGGCCCCGGCAGTGGCGGCCGCCACGGCGGCGCGATGGCCGCGCCGCCCGCGCCGCCCGCGCCGCCCGCGCCGCCCGGCGCCGAGGCGGGAGGGTCGATTGGAGGAGGGACGGAGGGGAACGAGGGAGGATAAAAGACGAAAAACATACCCAGACCCCCTCGAGTCATGAAAAAATCACGACGGGAGGTTTGTCCATATCTTCAACCTTCATGGGCCCCTACCGGGCCTCGGGACCGTCAAAAAACGACCCAGGATGGAAAACTGGTCCCGGGGAATGGGTCCAAACTTCTGGGGGTCGACGTCATGAAACAATCATGTCTTCGGGGGTCTGGGTATTGATCAAGCGGAAGCTTTCGGAGGTCTGCGCAGATTCCTTGGGTGGGCGCTGGACTCCCTCTGGCGGCGCCTCTGGCGCCGATCCAAGAAGTCCGCGCGGCCGCGTCGAGTCGTTAGCCTTGAGACGAGGGCCAATGCAAACGGAGGTCAGCCAGAGCGCTGGATCTTGCAAGATTCGGGCTTGGGTGCAAGATCCTGCGGGATCCTGCATAGCCCGACTGACCCAGAATTGGATTGACCCGGGTCAGTAGATCCCCGATGGAGGGTCGATTGGGCTGCGATAAAAGGAGGGGGCGACAAACGGAGAGGCAGCGAGGGCTGCAGAAGATGGGCCCTTTCGGCCCTGAAGGGGGCCTTCAGGGCCCCAGAAGCGCTCCTTCCCCCCCCCCCCCTTTGATCGCCCCCATGAATTCGCACCCCAGTCGAGGATCGAGGAGGCTCGAGGAGCACTCGCCATGAGGGAAACGGGCTCTGGGGGAAAGGGGTCCTGAGCTTGCTCGCCGTTTCTGGGCTCTCGGGGCCCTCCATGGGCCCAGACTCGCCAGGAACCGGCTCGGGAGGAGGACCTCGCCCTGGGGGGAGGCACCGGGGTCCGGGACCCGCTTCCCTCGGGACCCGTCCCCCCGTTAGGGGGCCACATGCGAACCCAATACCCCTACCCCCCACGATTTCTGAGGGGCAGGGTGGGGTTCACTTCGCTCGTGGGGGGTAGGGGTAGGGTTCGCGCGTGGCTCCCTGCCCATGCCAGGGGACCGAAGAGGCCCGAGGAGCACGCATCCGGAGGAGGAGGAGGAGGGGACCGCTGCCGCTGCCCCTCGCCTCGCTTCCGCGCTCCTGGGCCTCCCGGGCGGCCCCCGTGGCCACGGCCAGGCTCGCCCTCGGGAGGCTCCGGCCAGAGCGCGCCCCGGGAGAGGCCGGGAGAGCAGCTGCCTCGGCCTCCTGCGGTTGCCCCCCAGGGATCGGGAGGAGGCCGAGCACATCGATGGCACACGAGGAGCACGGAGGCCCGAGGATCGAGGGCGAGCCTCAAGACTCGACGTCGCGAAACATCGCAGCATCGCAACAAGAAGTAAAGAGCTTGTGACCGGAGCCCTGGACCGAGTCCTCCTGCGCCATTCTTCGAGCGGGAGCGATGCATGGGGGTCCCGAAGCGACGAAGAGCCAGACCCCCGACGTCCTGCGTTTTGCATGGCGTTGACCCCCAACGTCACCACCCACCAAACCACCCCAACCCATCCCGAATGCTTCAGTTTTCCCTCCATTTCCAGTGGGGAGGGGGTCGGGGAACATCGAAAAAACACACGGAAGCCGTACCCCCCCAACCCGAAATTCTTCACGCTTCGCGTATCCCCACCAGCCCATCTCAAAGCAGCAACTCTAGCGAAGCATGCCGACAGTCGTGTTTTTCAGGCGTGTTTCCGCCTGCCCCCGCATATCTCCCCTGTTCCTCCTTCCTCCCGCCTCCTTGTACATCCTCCTTGTGGTGGGAGCGGGAGAAGGACGAGGCGGAGGAGGAGGGAGAGAAAGCGCTCCTCGTGGTTTGAGTCGTTCGGGCTTCTCGTCCTGGTGTGAGTCGTTCGGGCCCTTCTTCCTGGTGTGAGTCGTTCGGGCTCTTCGTGGTGTGAGTCGTTCGGGCTCTTCGTCCTGGTGTGAGTCGTTCGGGCTTCTCGTGGTGTGAGTTGTTCGGGCCCCTCGTCCTGGTGTGAGTCGTTCGGGCCCCTCCTCCTGCCCGTCCAGAAACGACGCCCAGGCGAGTAGAGGGTCGTCCTGATGGGCTTTTCGGCGTCTTGGGTGCCTCGGGGGGGCCTCTTTGGGCCGTTTGGGATCCTCTTGGGGGCCTCCTGGGGGCCTCTTGGGGCCATCTTGGGGCCTCTTGGTGCCTCCTGGGCGCTTCTTGGGGCCATCTTGGAGGAAATCGATCAAAGAAGAGGGGAGCTTTAATTAGCGCTGCCCCCTCAGAAGGCCAAAATGGGGCCAAAACCTTAGTAAAATCAATGATTTTGGCTTGAAAGAAGAGGGGAGCTTTAATTAGCGCTGCCCCCTCAGAAGGCCAAAATGGGGCCAAAACCTTAGTAAAATCAATGATTTTGGCTTGAAAGAAGAGGGGAGCTTTAATTAGCGCTGCCCCCTCAGAAGGCCAAAATGGGGCCAAAACCGTAGTAAAATCAATGATTTTGGCTTCGAAGAAGAGGGGAGCATTTTTCTGCCTCCCCCCGTCGGGGCCAGAATCCTCGTGAGGGGTGTCGTTTTTTAGCCCTCCCAGGAGTCGAAAAAGACCCCTCCAACCACCCGCGGGGCGCCCTCTCCAGGCCCAGGGGGGAGGGGGTAGGGGGAGGGGTAAACCCCTCCCCGAAGGGGAAGAAGGGGGGTTGAGAACAGAGAGAGCTCTCTAAACCACTCACGCCCAAAGGGCTGGTGGGATTCGGGTCAAATTTGAGTTTTCGGGTTGGGTTGGGGTGGTTCTGGTAGGTAGCCACAAATGCCCCGACCCGGCCCCCTGGGCCAGTTTTTTTATCTCGAGCCGTTTTTTTGTTGGCGGTCCCGAGGCCCGGCAGGGGCCGTCGCAGGCCGAAGACTGCGAAGACCTTTGGGTCGTGATTCGGGGGATCTGGGACGATCTTGGAAGAGGGCAGGCCCAGGCCTCCGTTTTTTTTTTCTTTGTTTGTGTGTGTGTGTGTGTGTGTGGGTGTGGGTGTGGGTGTGGGTGTGGGTGTGGTGTGGGTGTGGTGTGTGTGGTGTGGTGTGTGGGTGTGGGTGTGGGTGTGGTGTGGGTGTGGGTGTGTGTGGTGTGTGGGTGTGGGTGTGGGTGTGGGTGTGGGTGTGGGTGTGTGGGTGTGGGTGTGGGTGTGGTGTGTGTGGGTGTGGGTGTGGGTGTGGGTGTGTGTGTGGGTGTGGGTGTGGGTGTGGGTGTGGGTGTGGGGTGGGTGGGTGTGGTGTGTGGGTGTGGGTGTGGGTGTGGTG